AGGACCCGGGCTCCCTCCGCGTGAGCAAAGACGTCCCGCGCTCGAGCTCGCCCTGCGGAGAGACGCCCTCGCTGGCACCGCTTCCCTCTGACCTCTTGATTCAGGAGGTAGGCGATTCAGGTCCCGCTCTCTGTCACTTTAGCGAATGCCTTAGTATTATTAGCCATCACACTGGTAGGAGACGCTGATTTTTTCAACATAGTTTCAGGATAATGCCACAGACCCTGATACTGGAAAAAAAATGTTTCTCGGTATTTTCCTTTAGGTTTCTGAGGCTCCGAATACCTCTGCAGCCCCCCCCACAGGAACTGCAGGACTTCTGTTGGCCCACCGAGGATCATTCTTCACCGGGATTACTGTATAACATCATCACCGAGCTTCCACCCCCTACCCTCCACCATGAGTCCTGGTTTCCACCAGGGAAGTTTTCTGATGATTTCTGTAATCATGTGACACCACCTATTGTCTCCCCCTTTTTCCTTTCTGGTTGTGAAATACATTAGGTGTAAGTTTGTGTCGTGTTAATGTGCAGTTTTCTGCCTGCCTACCTTTGCCTTATTTGCACCGCTCACTTCTGTCCAGTCTGCCTTACCTTGCCTGCTTATGATTTCCATAACCACTCACTTGCATAACCTGTAACAGTTCTTGCCTGGAGGAGGCAGCATTCCCTACAGTGCGCTGCCTGAGAAAGAACAGTCAGGGCATGGGTTTTCCCATTGTATTTTCCCATAGATCAAGTATGCAAGTCCTCTTGTAAACTATTTCTTCGCCAGCACATGTCCCAAAATATCCCACCTGAGCCTTAGTCTTTGATAACCTCATCTGTAATGATGGCAAGAAGAACTGACTGCGCACTAAGACTGTGAGAACTTGCTGATACAGCATTGGTTGTAATCTCCTTCGAGACTGTAGTTCATGAAAAAAAAAACCCTTAAACTACAGGAGGAGGAAGAAAGAAGATAGGGTTCATTGGAGCTAGTCCTTGTTGAGGGATTTTATAAGTTTGAAAACAGCAAAGTGAGAGTCGTATAGGCCTTGCCTAGAAATTAGCCAGCACACTATCCGTCTAGGTCCTAGGGGGACAGGAAAGGGATTTTTAAAGCCCAATTTTCTAGTCTCCTTTTGTTCAAGTCAAGGTCGTTAAATAACTTGTTCTAGTAATTACCTAATATATTAGACATTAAAATGTTGGGGAAACGTAAGCGCGTGGTGTTGACAATTAAGGACAAGCTTGACATCATTAAGAAACTTGAGGAAGGCATCTCTTTCAAAAAACTTTCTGTGGTGTATGGGATTGGTGAATCCACAGTTCGCGATATTAAAAAGAATAAAGATAGGATAATAAACTATGCAAACAACTCAGATCCTACAAGTGGGGTATCCAGACGTAAATCTATGAAGTCATCAACATATGAGGAACTTGATAGAGTTATGATAGAGTGGTTTAACCAACAGAAAACAGATGGGATTCCAGTGTCTGGAGCAATTTGTGCGAAACAAGCAAAGTTCTTTTTTGATGCTTTAGGGATGGAAGGTGATTTTAGTGCATCATCTGGCTGGCTAACCCGATTTAAGCAGCGCCATGGTATTCCAAAGGCTGCTAGTCAAGGAACAAAATTAAAAGGAGATGAAACTGCTGCCAGTGAGTTTTGTGGTAACTTTCAGGAATTTATTGAAAGAGAGAATCTACAACCAGAGCAAATTTATGGTGCTGACCAAACTGGATTGTTCTGGAAATGTTTACCATCCAGGACATTAGTTCTTGAAACTAACCAAAATACTTCTGGTTATAGGTCAAGCAGAGAGAGAATCATTATTATGTGTTGTGCAAATGCCACAGGTTTACACAAACTTAATCTTTGTGTTGTGGGAAAAGCCAAAAGACCCCGTGCATTCAAAGGAGCTGACCTTTCAAACTTTCCTGTCACTTATTTCAGTCAGAAAAGTGCATGGATAGAACATTCAGTTTTCAGACAGTGGTTTGAAAAATACTTTGTGCCACAGGTACAGAAACATTTGAAATCCAAGGGGCTTCTAGAAAAAGCAGTGCTGCTTTTGGATTTTCCTCCCGCACATCCACATGAAGAATCTCTGAGTTCAGATGATGGCAGAATAATTGTGAAATATCTGCCACCCAACGTCACAAGTCTAATTCAACCTATGAACCAGGGAGTTCTAGCCACGGTAAAAAGATACTACCGAGCAGGGCTTCTCCAGAAATACATGGATGAAGGAATTGACCCAAAAATGTTTTGGAAGAACTTGACAGTGTTGGATGCAATTTATGAAGTATCAAGAGCTTGGAACATGGTGAAATCAAGTACCATAACCAAAGCTTGGAAAAAGCTTTTCCCTGGCAATGAAGAGAATTCAGGTCTGAACATGGATGAAGGAGCCATTTTAGCAGCTAACTTAGCAACGGTTTTACAGAATACAGAAGACTGTGAACACGTTGACATTGAGAATATTGACCAGTGGTTTGACTCACAGAGTAGTGACTCAAGCTGTCAGGTGCTCAGTGACAGTGAGGGTGTTGAGGACCTGTCCAAGCCTGCTGAGCAAAAGCCTCCCAGCAAGACCAGAAAAACAGAAGTGAATCCAGAGAAGCACATTAGCCACAAAGCTGCACTTGAATGGACCGAAAACTTACTGGATTATCTAGAACAACAAGATGACATGCTTCTGTCTGATAAACTGGTATTACGGAGGCTGAGAACGATCATAAGAAGAAAGCAGAAGATCCACAATAACAAAAATCATTAATAATGCTCTGAAGGGTGTCAGAGTATTTGCATCTTTGTGACTTTATCTGCAATGGAACTTAATTATCTTGCTTGAAGTGCTATGGATTTCAAGGCCAAATACATTTTATAAATGATTTTAGGATTAGATGCCATTTTGGATTACTTAAATTACTGCTCTTTAATGTCAATTCTAGTAAGTGAGCATTGACATGTAACTTGTTTGTCTTTTGTTTCTAATCTGTGTTCTACTAATGAGATCATAAGGTTCCTGAGGCCAGGGATCTTGTGTCTGTTTTGTGCCTGAATTTCGTTGTGTCTAACGAGGACCATGCACACTATAGGCAATCAATAAATCTGACTTAAAATGAATTTTTATGACTTTCTATGAACTTCAGTTTCCAAATTGAAATATGTGCCCAACTGGTATGTCTCAGTGGTTGTATGTTGGTTGATCTATGGAACAGGAGGTCAGAGTTTGAATCCCGGTCAGGGCACAAGCCCAGGTTGCAGGCTCAATCCCCAGTGGGGGCATGCAGGAGGCAGCTGATTAATGATTCTCTTATCAGTTATGTTTCTGTCTCTCCATCTCCCTTCCTCTCTGAAATCAATAAAAACATATTTTTAAAAATATTAAATATATTAGGGGTAATTTTCCATTTCTGTGATTTTCCAACCTGCTGAAAATTTTAGAACTCATCAAAGATTATGCTTGAAGTATTTCACAGTGAAAGCAGAGAACTAAAGGAAAACAGTCTAAAGCAGGAGTGGGCAAACTTTTTGACTCGAGGGCCACAATGGGTTCTTAAACTGGACCGGAGGGCCGGAACAAAAGCATGGATGGAGTGTTTGTGTGAACTAATATAAATTCAAAGTAAACATCATTACATAAAAGGGTACGGTCTTTTTTTTTTTTTTTAGTTTTATTCATTTCAAACGGGCTGGATCCGGCCCGCGGGCTGTAGTTTGCCCACGGCTGGTCTAAAGCCTTAACTATGACATTCTAAACCAACAGTATTTGGGCACCTAACAATTCAGATTGGCCATTTCTGAGTATAATGAAGGAAGAAGAAATAGATTAAGATGTCCCCAAGGCTTGCACTGCACTTTTATTCCACTGACAGTAGAGAGAATTTCTTCATAGTAGAAAAAAATAGATTTCAATTCCCAAACCATTGTGATTAGAAGAGGTAAAGGTTACCTTTTACCATCTGTCATTTTGATCCTTAGTATAGATACCTCAATCATTTTTAATAAGCTACTTGATATTTATGTAACACTTTTAAGCATACAAAGTATGCCATTTTCTTTCAGATAGCCTGTTTTTCTGTGAGAAATACTGAGAATATAAGCCTCATAATTTGTGGACCCACACCTTGAACAATGGACTGACATTAAATAGAACATGTGAAAGGCACTGTAGAACAGCATCGGCTGCTGGGTGACCATGGCAAGTTACTTAATCTCTGCAAAATAGGGGAAATACCTTCCCGGAGAGGTTTTTTGAGGAGTAAATGAGTTAATATATGGGCTTAAATCAGGTCCTGACTCTGAATAAGTCGACACTGAGTGTTGGCTACTGTTCCTGAGTTGCAGAAATTGGGAGTTTCGGAAATATGCTGAACAGATCTAGTAGTGTGTGTCTCAGCCAAGATATTGCTGCATTGGGAAAAATCTTTAGATGGGGAAATAAGATCAAAGAGATTCAAGTAGTTAGTGTCTGTTGAAATACAATAATATTTATTGCAGTGAAAAATGAAATATTAATCCAATTTAGAAATCATTTTCTGACCATGTGTTGCTAGACACAATAAGGTATACAGATACATATAAGACATCTTCAGTTGAATTTTAAAAGAAAATAAGAATGGAGTTGTAATTTCTTTGCTCCTGCTAGTAAAATAGATATTAACTGTTCATAAAAGTCTATGTTACTAATATTGGCATAATTCACTTAAGTAATAAAATACCTTTAAAGTAGGTAAGATAGCAGTAAGCGGGACACTTGAAATATTTTATCAAACTAACACAATCAGTAGAAAATCAGATCAAAAGAAATGTCATAGTAATTAGTCCCAGCCATATAGGCACAACTTGGAGATATTGTGGGTTCAGTTCCAGACCACCCCAATAAAGTGAGTTATAATGTTTTTGCTAGTGGAGGGTTCTGCCTTTAGTTTGTAAAAAACAAAAACATCTATGAAGCACAGTAAGATGAAACTCAATAAAACGAGGTATGTCTGTATTTAAATACTGCTGTGCTTTTCACAGAGCTTTCTGCTTTTTTTCAAAAACTTCTCACTTTATTCATGACGTTGAAGGGATTTGATGCTATGTTTTATCATAAGCGCTACTATAAACTATTCTAGTTCCATAAGTAATTGTAATACAAGAATTTTTCCTCTTCCAGGTATTGTAGTATATGAGTATACAATTCATATCCTCTAGGAAGATGAATCATGGTGTCTTAGGTTACCTCATGCTCCTTATATGTATCTTAGTTTGAGAAGCACAGAAATAATGTGCTCTCATTTAACTTTGTGCACCTTAAAGATGATATCCACAGATTCTGGTTATTGGTTACCATTTATAAAAGTGCATATTTTTTTTCAGAGTGCGCAAACATTTATTTACAAAAGTCCAAGGTATATATGATACAGGCTTTTTACATAGTAGTTAAAACAGGATTATTTTATGTGTTTTTATTACCAGGAAGTATAGAAAATGTTTAGTAATCATTTTTGCTATTTTTATACAAAGTGACAGGTCATGCACCTTTTTTTTTCAGTTTTAAAATCCTTCGCTAAGTGCAAACACGAGATGCCTCTTTCCGGTTTTAAGGAAGTGGGATGGGACTGTCGCTGGGCAGTCTCTGGCTCTGGGGAGCAAGCATTCCGCCCAGAGAGGGGAAGGTGCCAGGTGCTGCTGGGCATCCTGCCTTGTCCCCCAGAAAGGGGCTCATCTCTGCGTGTTTCCTGTCACTTGCATCTTGCAGCCACTTGCTGGCTTGTCAGATGATTATGGCCCCATCTCTGCCCCAAAGCCCATCACTAGTACGACTGCTTCTTGAGGAGCCCGGGATCCAGTTCCTGCCTCCGGGACCCTGAGGTGTCTAGAGGGTCAAACAGGGTTAGAACTCATGACCCGTGAGCCCCCACCAGCAGAAATGCCTCCTGAGCAGCTGTGTGGGTGAGAAATATCCAGAATTCTCAAAGGACAGGTCCTCAGCTTGGCCTGGGGGGAAACCATTCCTCTAAAGTGCTTATTTTTTGAGTATTTGAAAGACGAACAGATCTCAGACCAAATGGAAAGTGTTTGGCAACTATACTTGAAAAAAAAAAAGGATAGCATGATATTTACTATTTCATACTTCAGTCTCAGAGTAATACAGGGGTTGCGTGGGAAACTTTGAGTGCTCAATAAATATAATAGAGTTGGCAGGGCCCAGATCAGTAATCTCAGTCAATCCAAGCAGATGATAACACTGTAGCCCTCGCCCTGGGAGGACCAGGGTGGGCTAAAAGGCACAGATGACATGACGCAGGACATCGCTACTTAGTCACCGGCTCAGAGGCACTCTGAACCTAACACCAAGAATTACAAGTAAAAGCTCGGACCTGTGCTCCAACTTTAGCCCTCCTCAAGGTGGGCTATGTCCGGTTATCACCATGGGATTGTCACAAAGTTGACCTTCTCTCATTTAAATACATACTTTACACACTAAGCAATGATATCTGCAACATCACAGGTCCTGTGTGCCAATTGTGGTTTAGTTCTTGTCCAACGTGACTATCTGTAAACTAAAATCACCTTGCATACCTCTTGGCATGCTTTGAGAAACACAAGCAGGAGTAAGGCGATTGAAGGCTAAAAGACTGGCATGCGAACACCAGCTTCTCTGCTTTCTCCCTAGATAACCTTGGCAGCTTTCTGGACTGCTCTGAATCTCAGGTTCTTCAAAGGTAAAAGGGTTGCAGATGGAATAGACACACTCCAAGCGCTTAGAAACACCAATTATTAAGCAACCCTATTCATTGAGAACCCTTGGTCTCCAGGCGTGGCCTGGAAAATGTTTCACAGCCCTCTCTACCAGTGACTTGAGCAGACCTCCAGGGGCCTTGGGCACCCTTGTTAAGGTCTAGGGCATTGCTTCATCACTGGAAATGTTGGCTGGGGTGTCTGTATACACAAGGGGGTAGTTTTGAGTCCCCTAGGTTCCTAGGGCTACAGTGTATGTTGTCAATCAACATGGGCCCATCCATAAAAAAACAAAACAAAAAAACAGATGAGGCCTGCTCTAGCTGCAGTTTGGGAAAACAGGGCTCAAAGAGAAATGGGTTCTTCCAAGCCGCTGAAGACACACTTGTGTTCATATCCCTGAAGCAGAAATGAAAACTGCCTGTGCAAATGCAGTGGGTAAATGGAGGAGCAGACTTGCACCTAGTCACCAAGCAGCACCAGCAGTACTAGCAACGTCGTCCCATCTAACAGGTGTCCTGGGGTCACTGGGCCTGGTTTGCCTAGCAATGTTCTGGTTCCCATTGGTCAAACCAGAAAAAGTGTATAGTGCCCCTTTTACTGTCAAGTGTCCCCATTTAGAAGAGCAATTAGATGGTTTTGCTACCAGTGACCCAGAGCAGGGAGTTGATCTGCTCAAGGTCATACAGTCATCAGGGGCCAAGAAGGGAATAAAACTTGCTTCTCCCGGCTCCAGACAATGTGGCCTACTGACCAAGGGCATGGCTCCCTTCAGACAGTGAGCCTCCGAGGACTAGAATGCAATCTTTTTAAAAATATATATTTTTTATTGATTTTTTACAGAGAGGAAGGGAGAGGGATAGAGTTAGAAACATCGATGAGAGAGAAACATCGATCAGCTGCCTCCTGCACACTCCCTACTGGGGATGTGCCCGCAACCAAGGTACATGCCCTTGACTGGAATCGAACCTGGGACCCTTCAGTCCTCAGGCTGACGCTCTAGCCACTGAGCCAACCGGTTAGGTCTAGAATGCAATTTTGATCCATCTTCATCCTAGAGCCCAGCACCTGCCTCCTCGAACCAGGTGGGAAGTCCCTTATTGAAATTCTGTTTCCTGGAGGACAAGGATTACTCCTAGTTCATGTGCTGAATATTGGCTGCATGCCAGGCATAATCCTGGGTGTTCCACAAATCAATGTCTATTGGTGATCCCCAACACCAATCCTGTGAACTATAGTACTTCACCCATTTCAGGAGGAGCCCCCAAATGGAGCTGGCAGAGACCCAACGAAACATTCCTGTCTGAGACAAGGACAGAGATCTCAGCCCTTGCAGGGAGCCGTGGGCCAGGCTGCAGGAATCCATGAGGCACTTAGCCAAGGCCTTCCTTAAA